TCCGGTTTGATCATGGACTGTTGCCAACGCGGTCGATTGTCAGTGGTTTTGCCGAGTAAATCCAACCTCCAGAAGCCTGGATTCGGTGTAGTGGTTTGACCTCCACATAGATGGAAATGCCATGAAAAGTCGATCCCCACTTAAAAGTGTATTGGACTTGGACGGGGTCTGTGTAAGGTCATCTGTGTTCGCTCTTGGCTCTTGTGAGTCCTCCACACATCGAAGAACACGCTCCGACTGCACGCGCAGGTGTATCTGCCAACCTCCTGGCCTGGCACGCGCTCGGCGCGACTTTGGTTTTGATGCTTTTCTGTTTTTGCTGAAAGGGTGCGGAATGTGTTTCTGTTCGGAAAGCATATATATATATATATATATTTTTTTTTTTTTCCTTAAACTTGAGGCACCAGTTGAGTTGCCTTTTGGAGGTTTCAGACAGAGATCGGGTGTATGAAAAGCTACAATCTAAGGAGTGACTGGGAATAAAGGGGTTGATGGTTGCCAGATTGTGGACCATCCCTTCTCAAAGCCATGGTTTGGAACTTGTGCACTGGCGGAAAGCTCAACCTGTTACCTACTCTGGGCGGATCTGTGAGGCCCATTACCAATTTTTTAGTAAAATGCTTGGCTGCTAGAGTTGCAAGATGTCCACCAGCTGCTGCTGCAGCTTGCCCAGCAGGGCAGGGTATCATCGAATGTAGGGAAAACATTGGTCCAATTGGGAACCCGCCATTGGGAACCCCAAAAATAGACATGTCACTGTATTTTGTCGTGCTCATTCTTCATAGAGGTACAGTGGTACGAACAAATTTGTACAACAGGATGTAGTTCACTCCTTTATTTGTAAAGTCTTGGCTCCTAGTCACGTCATATTCACTGTGGTATGGATCCAGGAGTAGCAAAGAAGAAGCAGATGAAAGAGAAGACCAGATTTTGGACAAAACATACCAGGAGTCACAGAGCTTGGAGTGCCCAACCCTTGGGGTCCCCACGATCCACCTCCTCACCTCCAAGGCCCGCCACCGCCGGCCGCACGCTGGTCCCGTCCGGGCCGTCGGGGTGGTTCGGGTGGATGGTCTGCTTCGGCTCGGGGTGTGGGGAAGACTTCTTGGATCTGAGTCGCCCGGATTTCCAGCCTTTGAGCTAGTTGGAGTCGCCCAGCTATGCTTTTAAGTGAGGTGAAACAACTGGAATTCGAAAAAAGGCACGTGAGCTTCTGGATGCTCGGGATGCGTCTTGGGATCCAGGTAGAGTCTCAGGTATCTCAAGTCCTCCAGTCCTCCACCAGTGCGCTTCGACTGCGAAGCGAGGCCACCCGGACCCACCGGTCTCCAGGGTCCTCCCACAGGCGCGGAGTTCGGGAGTCCGGTGCTGTGGGGAGTGCTTGGCGGTGAAGAACGGGAGTTCCAAGAACCGGGTGGTTTTAGCAACATGGGAGTTGGGAGGGTTTTCTTGAAGAACTCATCATGTCAGCATGGCATGTCATGTCTCATTCAGATCATCATTTGCCCAGTTCTCCAAGCAAATTCTTGGGTTTCCCGTCATATTGGAGGTCAAACTCTGCCTTCAAAGACATCTGCGGCCATTGGTCGGTCCGTTCGTTTTCTTCTGCGACCTCTGCGGCCGTTGGAGAGAAGTTTGAAGAAGGCTCTGAAGAACATCTTGAAGGCTCTGGCTCCAGAACTTGCTCCCTCAAAGGAGCCAGAAGAGCCAGAAAGAACCTTCTTGCTCCAAAACTTGCTCCCTTTCTGTCTTTTCAATCTCCACCAGATAAGGTCGGTCATTTTGGCACCTCCACCACGGATCGTTCCCATGCTCCCCATGCTCCGGACCAGATTTCTGTCGTTCTTGGCCACGGGTTCCCAGCGACCTTCTCCGTGTTCCTTTACAAAAACATCAATGTCAATATCCTTAGATGAAGGAATGTGTTGCAGCTGGTTGGTGTGAGGTTCATCACCTTCAATGGGTCAAGAACGGGGGTGTGAAACACCGTTTCACCCAAATTGGATCGAACACTTAGGTGCACCCTGTTTGGGGCCGGGGGCCCCACACATGTATGCTCTCACTTTCGATGGTCCCAAAGTTGAGCTTCCCCCCTCCAAATGCTTTGGATTCTCTCCCGGCCACCTACTCACCTCCTCACCCGGTCACCGGCCGCCCGCCGAACCAGCCGGACCCCGCGGGCTTGCAGGCTCCGAGTCCGAATCGGCGTCCGAGGCGCACCGGGGCGACAGGAGAAAAGGACGGAGAGTGAACTAGCTGAGGTCTTCAGACGCGTTTCGGTGTTGCGTATATGGTGTACTGGGTGCTACCTCGAACTTCAAGAGGCTGAGTGGTGCCGCATGTGAACCCAGACCTGCAGTGCAACAACGCTTGAAGCAGAACCCCCCCCGTTGCTTTGCGTTTCATCACGATGGTGGGGATTTCTTACATCATCCGTGCCACAGTGAAGACGTTCCTCGAGTGGCACAGACCCACCAGCAGAGACAAGACTCAATGGGCTGACTCGTTGCGCGCGCTTGGGGAAGGGGGGGCGGGGGAAAATTGGAGCCCTTTTGCCCTAACATCCGCTCCGCAGGCACAGTTCAGGCCAGTACTTGCCAGTGTGAGGCAGATCCATTTGAGGTTTTGTTTGCAGGTGATGTGGTCAAGCAAAGGCAAAGTAGAAAAGGTAAAAAGCAAAACTTGTTGTAGGAGAGCTTGGGTAATCGTTTCGACATGGAATTGGAAGAGCAATTCGCAAACTACACATTCGTCCACCGAAAGCGGCCTTCGAGCAGTGAAAAGCGGTCCATCGAGCAGTGTCCATCCACCCTCAATATCGATCCAGCAGGATGAAGATCGATCCAACACTTCAGGATGTGAAGATAATGACAGAAAGATTTGGTCAAGACCAACAGTTAGTCACACTTAGCAACAAGCGACAGATAGTGACCAGCAGGGCAGTTCTTTTGGGCGGTTGTGGTTCGTTTTGGTGACCCGCTCCCCCCGTTCCCAACAGGAACTCGTGTTGAACGAACAACCTCTGGAGACCGAAACCACATGAGATCTCGGACCTTCCTCTATGAAGAATCCGATCGGATGGACCCGAACCACATGGACCCGGACGTGCGAGGGGTCGCGCCGGTCACGCGACGTGAGGGCACCGATTCGGATGATGCCTTTGCCACTGGGTGAGGAAGAACATGGTGAGGAACGGTGCGGACGGCGTTTTTTCGCCAGATGGAACTGTTCCTCAGGACTTGATGGGGCCCCCCCTTTCGATGCGTAAACTGGACCAGAAGGTGTTTTTGGGGAAAGCTTGGGAAGCTTGGTTGCACCACACTCAATTCAGCTTCCCATGAGAAAAAGGAACATCATGCTTGCTTTGGGGGTGGGGTGTTTGACATTTTGTTCCTCTTCCTGCACCACAGAGAATCCCTCAATATAGCTCTTCTATGGCATTCCCAAGAATACCAAGCGCCATAGAATTTCCTTCCGGGACTCGCCATGATGAGTCGGGTTGGTGGGATCTTCGGTGATTCGTCATGGCAACGGCGCCTTCGCACCTTTGTGGGTGTTCAAAGGGTTTATCTCTTACCCCACCGGTTCTACGCCTCCCGAGCCAATGGTTCTCCATTCTCTTGCTCCTGCTCCGAGAGCGAACAATGAAAAGGATCGGTGATCCATATCAACTGGGCTCAAAAGGGGAGAGACAAAACATTAGGGGGATACTTTCTTGGGAGGATACCTTTTGTCCCCCAAAGGTCACTCCATCGTTCTAATGGATTGGTCAAAACCTGGAGCCCTGATCCGCCATGTAGCTTGACCTTCCAGGTAGGTCAAGCGTTTGATCTCCTGGTGCCATGACCCACCGTCATTTTTCTCCATTTCGAGAAACCATGGTTTTGAGCCTAAGAGCGATGGTCCTCCAACCTACTAGCGATGGCCTCTTCGACCTCCAATCAAGCTCATCTGAAACGATCTTGTAAGGTGCACAGCTCGGAGATCCCGAGGTGCTCCTCCCGGGTGGCTGCGAAACGCCTCAACGCCTCAAACGACGGTGTTTGCGACAGGTGGATGCTGGTTGCTGCTGGTTGCGGTATGTAGACATGGGAAGGTCAAGATATCACGTCTTTGTGCTTTCTGTGGACAAACCATAAGGTGTTAGGAGCTCTTCAAGCCCCCTTGTCCTGTAGTCGAAGAGCCAATGTTGACAATTTTTTGTGGATCGATATTGAATCATGAAAAGTATCCTCAACTACTGTAATTGTGGAGCAAGGTAAGGACCTTCTTTACGTGCAAGCAGGTTTTTCGCCCTTTTGTTCCGAGATGGGGTTGCCAACTCATTTATTGGATTTCATGGGTGGGTCGCATGCTTGGAGTTCCTCCTGTTGCTGGCTCTTCTTCGGTGGTTGCCCCGTCCCGTTGTTCGGGATGGACTGGACAGGCAAAGCACCTCCTATGCGATGCACAAGGCCAAAGCTGAGAGCACCAAGGCCGTCGTCGTCTTTGACGGAGCGTGGGGAAGGGGTTTTGCAATCTTTTGTGTTTGCTTCATTTCTTTTATTGGGGGGAGAAGTGGAAGTCCACAGCCGGATTAGAACTCCAATGTGTTGGCATGAATCCATGAATTTACTTGTTAGGTGCTGAGCCACAAAAACACTCTGCACAGCCAGCAAGAAAGGGAAGGAAGTCAAGGAAGTCAACTCTCTCGCTGTTTTCCCCCCGCTACTCGGTGGAGTCGCCCCATGGTCCACGGAGTCTTCCGGTTCGAACGGTTCGATGTGTATAACGGCCAGGGCCAAGGTGTACGTCACCTCGAACCTTTCAAAGCCCTCCCAGAACATGTGCTCTTCATTGATCCAAAAAGTCAGCACGTGATGCTGAAAGTGTTCATCGTTCTATTTTTATTTTTCAAGTTTCGGTTGAAGATATATATATATATAGTTCTCAAAAGAGCCGAACACCCTGCAGCCCTGTCTGCGTATGTTGAGGCGAGCTTCAAGCGCCCGCAGTGGTATATGTTGATCTTCGGCAACATCCTGGCCATGATGGCTGGCATGGTGGATGTCGGTGGCTTTCACAGCAGGTGGCGAACTGGGAAATTGGGCTGTCCAAAGGACACCAGGACATACCTGAGAGGACGACACCAGGATACATCCCTGCCAGCGACTGCACCCCGTGAAAAGAGCATTTCCCAATCTCCAGTCATGGGAATGCTGGTAGATCCTGAGATCAGAGCTCACTGCTCACGACCAGAGAATCGAATTTTCAAGCCTTCAAGGTACGAGTACTAACGGAGCAAGTAGGATGAGAAGCCAGACCCGAGGCATTTGGAGTTGGGAGGGGGAAGAGGGTTTTCAAGCGAGTCTTGAGTCTTCCAAAGAATTTCAGATGTTTTCTTCTCTTCTGTCCACTAACAGATACCACGCAGAGCGATCCTCGTCCCGGGTCTGGACCCGTTCCATGAGCATTCATGGGCTCTAGGCCTTTGCTATTTGGTTTTGGGCTTGGTGCCAATTGGAGCATCCATTGCAAACGGTTTGTGAAACGAGCGCAGCAAGAGCTTCGCTTCGGGGCTCTCGAAGGCCACCTTGTTCGTGTTTTCACCTTTGCAGTATCAGCCTGGAGGACACCTCCCAAGAAGCTTCGCCTCAGTAGGGCAGAACGCTCCTTTATTGAAGCCGGGGCACCGACTGAGCCTCGATCATGTGCTTCAACGTGACCACCACTCACGTGACCGGCCAGCTGGATGGCAAGAAGTGTTCCTGGGTGTGGGGACATCACACCAGGGTAGAGGACGCTACGAACGGAGCATTTTGGGCATCGCTACGAACGGAGTGATCGGACGCGACGGTTCCGGGGCTCCTGGCCTTACTAGGAACAAGAACGCTACGAACGTAACAAGAAGCCATCACAAGGAAGAAGAGATCCACCAGGGTTGGAGCTTCGAAGCTGGGTCCGTGGGGAACTTCGGGAATCGAGTCTTTTTCCCGCTGGAGGGCTATGCACAACCACGCTGGTGGTTTGAATGAAGACGGCAAATGGAAGAGCATCATGCACCCCGATTTCAGAGGTGAAGATTCCCCAAGGGGTACAGGGAGTTGGACAGTACTATATATTTCAGCATATCGAAAACAGTCACATCCAGGTTCCCTCCATTGGCAAAGTCTCTCTAGCATGCAAAAATGAGAAGCAGCACTCCGCCCTTGTCCACACATTCCAAACGACGATAAAGTGTACTTGCCCCCAGGACCCTCCTTGTGAGTGTCGCATACCAGCTTGTAAGCTCATGAAGACAGCGTACGATACAGGGTCAAAGTCATCCCCCAAAGTGTGCCTCAGGTTGGAAGGTTGCCCAAAACTTTGAATCACTCCGTTGGCGGACACTTGCGCCGGTGGCGGACGGCGAAACCATTTAAACCACCACTTAGGCCAGACACCCGGCCACCCAGACCGCGCCACGAAGAACGCCCGGAACTCGACAGAGGCAACACTGCGAAGGTGGGGATGTACATCGGCCACGAGAGCAACGAGAAGATCGACGCCGCCAAGGTAGAGCAACGCGGACTCGTCGAACATGCGCGCCACGCCGCGACGGGGTCTTCGGGATCGACGCGAGGCGAGTGGAAGCAGAGTTCGTTGGTTTACACCCGCCCCCGCGGAGAGGTGTAGAACCAGAGCTCCTGTTTGTTGGAACCACTCTGGACATTGGCCTAGCATGGAGCATGGGGTGTTCTACAAACAGAGCTCCTGTTGGAACCACTCTGGACATTGTGGCGTTTGTCATGCATGGCACGAGTACGAGTGGCAGTCCGTTTGTCCTGCATCGGTGTGGCAGGCAAAGCAGCTGGGGCTCTGCGTGCTCTTCTTCTGCTTCGGGTCCTTCTTGTGCGGCCTCATCATTCCCAAGACCCAGCTGCCTGACGCATGATGGTGCTTGTTCTGCCAAACTAGGAGCGATTGAGAAGGGACGACGTGGAGGGGAGGTATAGGTAGGACCAGGTAGGAAGATGTGTTTTGAAAAGAGGGATCGAGCGTGGATGTGATTCTGTGGATTGGGTGTATTGGACACCGGATTCCTCTGGACACTCTGGGATGAGTTTAGGACGTTCTGGTACTTCAAGCTGTTTTGGTCGGTGCATCTTCTCTTTTTCGCTTTTTTCATGGTTGTAGGATTCACCCAGCAACATGCTGATAGATTCTATAAGATTCACCTCTTCAAGAGAGCTCTAGAAAAGCCTTTCAGCCATTCTTATTGAATATTCAGATATGCTGCGACATCTCCATCTTTATTAGATGTCCTTTCTACCTGACCACAAGTTGCACGGCTTTCCAGGTTTCAGTCTCTTGCGCCGTGAGACGAAACCGAGGGGAGGTGATGGACGAACCGACTGTCCAACTATAAGTGACTGTTTATGACGACCAAAAAGGGGGGACCTGCCAATCCAAAGGACCAATGGACTTCGTTTGGGGATCGGACATCTGTTCCTCCACGGTTCACATGGACAGTTGTTAGTGAGACCCGTGGCCCCACACATGCTGGCTCAGGGTCCACATTGGTGGCAAAGGCCTCTATGGCACAGCGCTCATCGCCGAGTGTGCCCATGGCAGAAGAAACGAGTAGAGAATGACAGGCACACCTCTGAATAGATATCACTATAGACTATAGTAGCTAGTATAGTAGTTAGTTCATACGTGAGAAGAAGAGCCAGGATCCAAACAGCGAGGAACTGACGCAACCTTTACTTGTGAGCCCCTGCTCACTGAGACTCGAGACGGTCGAAAGCGATGACACAGACGGTCCGGGGCTGTGTAGCTTGTAGACCCGCAACGAATAGGTTGTCGACGACCTCCACGTGTTTGGACGGCCGGTCAGGTCTGTCTTGGTCCACGTCCGAGTCATATCGCCCCGTCGCGCCATCCGGCGAGAAGCCAAAATGACCCAGGAATTACAGAGTATATCAGAGTTGATAATATATATATATCAGAGTATCTTTGCGCAAGAGATATTCTTCCTTGTCTTGCGGATCCTTCTGCATCTGTTGCTTCTGCATCTCACAGTCTTCTGGGATCCAAGGTGCGCTTTTGTTGATCGCTTACTTTGACCCCAACCATGAGGCGCTCGGCGTTCTTTTATACAAAGCCGCGTGTTTCGTTGACCGCCAAAGCCGAGCCGTGTTTCGTTGACGGTCCTGGGTTCAATAGGGCCTATAGTCCAGAAAACCCGACCGGATGTGACCGCTGATGAGGATTCGCTGTTTTTTTTTTTAATCGTTTTGTCCTTCCAACTGTATAAATTGACCGAGTGAAATTCACCTGAGAGTTTCTCCTCCTGCATCACCTGGGTGATCGTATTCTCTGGCCATGCTTCCCTTGTATTTCTGCCGAGGGCCAAACCACCCATGGGTTCACTTGATGATCGTCACGGCCTCTGGTTTGACCTCCCGAATGAACAGAACGTTGTTCTGACAGGACCCATTTAGGGACCGGTGGATGGATTGCACCATCCACTTCCACGTGGTGTACTGGCAAGATAGAGAAGCTTGACATAGAAAGATAGACAGATGGGTGCGACTTGCAGGTCATCTCTGTTAAAAGTTTTCCCCGAACAGGAAGCTGCGGTTTTATCATTGAAAATGAAACAAATATCCACCAGGTCCATTAGGTTTACCATGTTTTGGTTTTCATCCCTTTACAACTTGTCGCACCAGTCAGTAGAGAAACATCTGAATCTCACCAGTCAGTAGGCTTGCTCCTCGGCGTGCGCGCCTTCCGTGGACCGCTCAGTTCGCGCCCTTCTGGGCGGCCATGGCTTCGGGCCTTCAGAACGCCATGTGTACCATGCACTTTGGAGCCGTGGCACCTGTGCCAGAAAGGTCTGGGGTCTGGGGGAGAGAGAGAGAGAGAGAGTGCTTTAGAGGGTATGAGCGCTCAAAAAAGGAGGCTATGGCACCACAGGGATGTAGGGGCGAGATCCTCCAGCTTCCGACTTCGCCGCTCCGGTTTTTCAGCTCGATCTGGTTGATCGTCCGTCCGTCGTCCGATCCGGGTTGAGTGGGTCGCGTGGGGGGGTCGACCCACGGGTGCCTCCCCAAAACTCCCAGCTTTCCAAGCTGAGTTCGTGGAAAGCTTTGTTTCGTTTCTTCGTTTCCCCCCGGAGGTCCGGCTCGGTCTTTCCACAAGCATTGCCTTGGCCAGGTCTGGCCCGTTTAGCTCTCCGTCAAGCGACCGGTCGCTTGACGCGATTCCGGTCTTCGGTTCGGTTTGGACCTCCCAGGTGCGAACCACCCACGTCACCGGATGCATTACGGACATCGGCTCCACCGCCGGCCGCGCCGCGATCCTGCTGGTGCGGCGGCTCTTTTTGCGGGACGGCTCAGGCGCCCGGTGAGTCGTTGGGACGGGGACGACGTGGACCGGGGGGGCTCTGGAGGGGAGTCTGGCTGCGGTCTGGCTGCGGTCTGGGGTTTTCCCCAAATGCGGTTGGACTTGGACTTGGAGGACTCACTGGAGCTGTGAGCTGTGAGCAATCGAGATGGCAGGCTCAAAAAGAGTCACTGATGGCCACCTTGCAAAGTTACTACCATGAGCATATATCATATATCCGTACAGTGAGCCCCATACAGAGTTTAGAAGATGTGGAAGTATATGATTTTATGTTTTTTTTCCCCAAACAGTTTACTGTTGGGGTTCTATCTTAGAAAGAAAAGAGCTGGCCACACTCACTGGCCGCGCCCCTGAACTCTGTGGCTGGGCTCTGTGGCTGGGCTTCGTGGCTGGGCTCTGTGGCTGGGCCTTGTCCTCTTGGCTTGGCCGCGCCCCTGAACTGTTTGGGGTCTATGCTTGTATAGTTCTTTATAATCATGTACCATTCATTTTCATTGAGCTTCCACTTTTCCATATTATGTCTCATGTCCTTTCTTTCCACCACGCCAGGTCCGGAGATCTGCACCTCACTTCGCTTTCATCGCCGTCCGCCGTCCGCCGTCCGCGGCGAGGCACACAGCTCCTGGACGAGGCCGAGCTGCACGTGGACAAGCGAAAGCTGCTGGTCACCTGGCGCGACCCCTCGACGGTCGCTGTGTTCGATGGCCGCGGTGTGCGGCCGGGGAAGGCCGGAGGAGCGCAGTGCCGGTCCGTTCGATGAGACCGACATTGAGGGGTTTCGTTCGCAGCAAGCGGCATTAAGAAGACATTCGGTTGGGGTCTGTGGGTCAAATTGGGGTCGGTGTGGAGGTTCGTTCTGGCCAAGCACACATTTCGGTGAGTGATGCAGTGCCATGTTTGGCTTGATGGTTGTTTGACCGTTGTCCTGCGACTCTGGAACTCCTGGACCAATGGCAACGTAGGGTTCACTATGGTTCACTTCTACTCTTACAATGAGGAGCCGCGGTTCCAGAGGGGCCACAGGGGGTTTGAACAGCTATTAAAAAGATCTTCCGCCTTTTTGGATCAGCTGAAAAAAAACCCAGCCCTCGAGGCCCTCGAGGCCACTGACTCAGTCGAGGTTGAGAGGTTTTTTGGGACTTGTCGATGCTGGCCCCGTAGGGTCCCGGGTCCGGGTCCCGGGTCCAGGATCGATCTTCCAAGGGACCTAGGTCTAGGTGTGGATCCCAGCTGTGAAGCAGAAGATAATTGCAAGCCTGAGTCAGGACAGTCACTAAATAGGAGTTTCCAAACCTACTGGGAATTAACACTGCACTTGTACAGTGTTGATGCGCAAGAAGTACCTCGATGCTCTCTCACAAGGAGAACAGCTAGACGTTCGCATGGATAACCAGGAGGAAACCAACCGTTCGCAAGCTGAACGAGGCGCAACTCCCTAGACAGGGTCCACAACATATTATGTATATGACAGGCAGAAGGATCTGGAACGGGAACTCTAGGGTCGGCCTAGCAAAAGACTTTCTGAGGTTCTTGTGCCTTTGTACCTCTTCTTCTTGCTGGGCTGCATTGTAGGCACGTCGAAGGGCTGTCGTGGCTTTCAGACCGCAGAGCGTTCAGCTGTCAAGCGACAGCTGTCGGTTTCAGCCTCTGAGCCATTGGCAGGCCACCACTAAGTTGAACCATCGTCGTTGATTCAAAAGTTGTAAAACCTGAGGTGCTTCACCCCCACTGGAAGATCTGGAAGTGTCAATGGCATTCAATGGTCCGTCTTTTTGAGAAGAAACTACTTGGAGACTTCCAAATAGCCTCCGTTCCGGAACATGACGGGTCTCTCTGTTGTGCTTAGAGGAGCCATTTCGTACCGGGAGATTTCCCACAACACCTTCTTGATCCCTGCGGGCGTGACGGGTTGCATGGGCCTCATCTACAGCACCCTGCGTGCCTGGGAGGAGAGGAGGAGGTGGGTGCTTTCTGGGCGCTCCAATGGCCGATGGGAGCCGCGTGTCGCGTCAGGTCTAGTGGCTTTTAACACCTTTTTGGGTGGCGGGCGCAGCTTTGAGCCTCCAATTTTTTGCGGCAAACCTGGTGAGAAACGTGTGTAAATTGGGAGAGCCAATTTGGATCGGCAAGATTCCTAGAGATTCCCCAAGACTCCTAAAGTTTATCAGTCCTCAGGGTTCCTTGTCGACGTTGGTTGCGTATGCCTTTGCTTTGTGGTCTTGATTCCCGAAAGTCAAGTAACCCCTCGGCGGCCGAGACCATGAAGCGTACAAGACGGATTTATATATATATATATATATACAATATACACATCTCCACATCCCCACATTACACTGAAGGCCTGCATGTGGATTGGTATATATATATATACACATATCTCCACATCCCCACATCCAGCGGACCGATGGTGTTGCGTGTTTGGACCAGTGCAAAGCTGATTTGGCATCCCTCCCATGATCTGCCGGCATGTTTGGGGGAGCGCGCCATAAGCCCAAGCGACACATCATATGCAAAACAGCCCAAACAGCCACAACAGCGAAGCAAGCACTCCGTGGGCTCTTCGCCCACGGGCTAAGGTGAAACTTTGAAGCAAACGATCAAGACCATGGAGCAGACGCGATTGGTTTCGGACCCGTGGTGGAACGAAGGATTGGAGTCGGAGCGAGAGGGTCTCATTGGTGGCGAACGCTCCTTTTATTTTTGGACATGGGGCTGAAGACAGGGAACCCTTGGATCAATGCGCTGAGGGATTGTTTGAAGGTTGTTGAGCAAATCGACTGATATATATATATATATATATATTATATTTGAATGTAAATGTAAATACCATTCAGAAGGGCGGGGCTTCCTGACCGAGCACATTTGATGGACGAATCGAAGCAACTGAGGGGAAACTGAGCAGTTTTGGCGGTCTCCCTATCACATGACATTTTTTAGAATATCTTTTTTGTTGCTTTGTCAGCATGACGGGATAGATGCCCACCCAAAGCTTGCAACAAAGCACGGATATACATATCACTATATGACTGTCTGCCGTGCCGAAAGACATTTTAAGGATCATTTTTGACCAGCCCCTGCACATCAGGACCCTCACTGCCAGGTCTTTTGTTGAGGGTTGTTGGGCCCTAACTGGCATTTGAGCGGGCGGCGCCGGGGCCCTCGGCAACACCTGTTTGTCAGTTATGTTCTTTTGCAGTGAATGGAGGAGATCCCTTGGTGCCTTTTGTCACAATCCTAATGGAATCACCTACAAAACAACCAGACCTTTCCAGACATTGACGCCCTGCATGAGGCCTCTGGTGCCTTACACTCCCAAGTGCCCAAGGAACTTCCCCCACCGAAGCGCCCATTGGGCCCCACTCCGTTGGGGCCGCCGGAGCCTCGCTTCTCATCGGTCAAAGAGGAACGTCGACGTCGACTTGGTGCTGGAATTCGTCGTCTGGGGGTGAAACATGGTATTTTTCTGGGCGTCCACCAAGCGTATCAAACATCGAAGGGTCTCACTTGTCTGACGACCCATCGTCTTCCGACGTCGACCGAGACAAGCTTCAGACCGTCGGTGCGGGGCTCTTCGTCGAACCGGAGACGTCGGAGAGTTGGGGGGGGAACGCTGGATCCTCTCATCTTCTCCGAGGATCTGGATGAAGTTCAGGCCCGATTGGATCGCACGCAGAAGACGATCCGCAGGCGGGGCGGCGCACGCGGAGGACCCGCAGTTCGGGGGGCTCTGGCTGGGGGGCCAAGGTAACAGACATGGACCTCTGCGCACTGGCGGAGAAAAGTCCCAGGGCTGGTTGATTGACTTGGGGTCAATGGGTTCATTAACTAAGGCATCGATTCCAGTTTTTCATTCGTTGGAGACCAATGTATGAGCATGTGCCTCGATCCGGCCAGCTGCGGGTGCTGTGCTCCGAGTCTCGCCATCTGTGCGCCATCTGAGTGGACTTGTTCCTGGGTTGCCCGGACCAAGTCCTCCAGCAACACAGAACGGGTCGCTCCAGTTCATCCTGGAACTTCCAGTGAAAAGGAACCTCCCTCCATGTCTGACCTTCTTGGTCAGTCTTGGAATGGTCAGGGGGATGGTGGAGACCAACGGTCCTAGTCCAAACCTCCGCAAAACGCGCCCCCTTTCCACCACCAAACTCCGAAAGGGAGAGGAAGTGCAAAAGGGTCTCTCTTTTCGCTTCACCAGATGTGAGAGGCCTCCGCCCCCCCTTTTCTTCGTCCCTTTGCTCCGTCCCGACCTGCCCGGGACCGGGGGCCCTCCGCGACGTCCGGGCCTCCCTTTGCTCCGACCCTTCCGGTGCCTGACGAGGCTGCAGCATCGACAGAACAGCGACGTGGGCTCCCGGGAGCGTCTGCCCAACGTGGCCGAGCTGGACGAACAGATGAGCACCGTGGCCGTGAAGGGGACGGGACGAACGTGTGGGACGGGACGAACGTGGCGGCCGAGCGGTTCGGTTCAAGGTGCCCATGTGGCGGACAGGTGGACAGCTCTGGGTCGGTGGGCGAGCTGGGTTTAGAACCGAAGCAAAGGAGACAACACATGGGAAAGCAAATGAGATGTTCGGGTTATGCTTCTGGGATTCAATCGACCAGGTCTGCACACACTGGGCATCCCTTATGCGGAAAACCCGCCTCGTTCGGTTCCGGCAAAGTGTTTTTTCGTTCAGGTGGTTGTCAACTGCTGGCGCCTGCGTATTCAGGCGCCAAGACTTCATTTTCCTGAGGACCCTGGGCCTCCTTGATCATCATCAACAGGTTCTTTTTCAGATGGTGAAAGAGCGCTCCTTGATGGACAGACTCCTAGATTGCCTGAGGTGCAGAATGCAGGGATACAAAGTTTATGGGGCATCCAGCAGAAGAGGAGCTTCCGATCATGATAAACCGGATTTGGACAGGATCAACAAGGGTTCCTAAAATGCGCTCTTATTCCCTCGGTTAAGACACCTTTTGCCCCTGCCCCAGACACATCAGCATTGGCACGAGACGCCAATAGTAGAGCACCGCCGCACCACTTGAGATTGTGTCCCAATTCTCGGCGTTGATTCTTGTGACTGGATTGTGGCCAGTGGTAGCGAAGGAAAGTGGACATTGCACATCCTTCCTTGGAACAGAGGCATGTTTTTTTGCTTTTGTTTGACGATTGTGGCAGGTTCATGTTTTAAGTGCGGCATGCAGCACACCGGATGAGTTCCTTTCATCGATTGGAGGGTATCAGCTTGCGGCCAAAGCTTTAATGCATACACTTTCCGAACAGGGCCCACCCCACCCTATTTAATCTGGAGTACAGTACCTATCCTCATTTGATGGAAGATGTTGTGAAGCAAAAATCGCCTCGCTCGGAGCGATTTTTGTCCCCTCTCTCTCTCTCTCCCTCTCTTCTCGCTTTGCTGAGATCAAGTCGCGGAGATGGTGAACGACATGGAGTGGACTCTGGGTGAGATGTATGATGCAGAGGAGCGGCGTCTCTTTCACGAGAACTCACCGGGTGTGTGGGTTCGGAGGTGGAGTTGAAGGATACCTGGTCAGTACAGCGCTCTGAATCGAAGTACCATAGTACCACGGATACCTAACATGGGCTGCATGGGTTGTCCGTCCTGTTCCAGCGAATCGTCGTCGGTTGGTTTGCCGCTCTCTTTCAATCCACCAAAGAAGCCTGTTCCAGCTTCTCATGTCACGATCTGTCGCAGCCCACTGTGACAGACAGGGCCGCTGCAGCGAGCGAACGAACACTCCCTCCGGTGTGCTCCGACGTGCTCCCTCGCCCCGAGACACGCGCCCGGACCGAGACGGCACCCCACTCCGAAGGAAGGCCGAACGGCGGATCGCAGGGGGGTGGGGCTCGTGGATCGGGCGAAACGGAACCTCATTTGCATCGAGGGAGACCGGAGATCAGGCAGTTGGCCTGCGACTGATGCAAGGCTGCCCTGCCGTGCCGTCCCATGGACTGAGCTGAAAACGCCCCACCATGCCTCTTCCCGAACATATGGTTATAGTATGGGGTCATAGTGGGAGAGTATTGTAGAGATTTGATTAACATCCCCCCACCTACAGTAGATGGTCAACGATTTCCATATGTTTTTCTACATTTGTCCCATTCTGTGCACACTGGTCGTCCCACAGGAGCGTGCCCATGCTCGACAGCGGACAGTCTGACAGGCTGGGAGGGTGTAGGTTGGTTGGCTGAAGAAAAGCATTGCAGTCAGTCAGTCAGTCAGCCAGTCAGGCAGGCAGGCAGGCAGACGGTCAGGCAGTCAGTCAGTCAATCAGTCAGTCGGTCAGCAGTTTCTAGATTTTCCTGGGGCATGAACCTACATATATTGTATATACTATTCTGGGCAGTAGAACAAGGAGACCACGCATGAGCACAGCTTACAAAGCGTTGCTGAAGAGACCACGCTGGCGCAGGACACATGCTGTAAAGAATCCACCGAGGATCATGCTGTTCGCACAGGAAAAGCATGTGACTGTGCTCTGGGGGGGTACACCTTGATTTGCGAGGGGGTACTGCTCTGGGGGGGTACTGCTTCAAATGGAGCAGTCACTGTGCGACTGTACCACCAGATCCAGACCGCATGGACTGCCGAACTCGATCCAGGCTTCGGCCACGGCTTGGGCCCCACACCAGGCGGCGGCCACGGCTGCCTTCGCCGCTTCATCCAGCGACCGGAGCGCGGGCGGAGCGGACTCGGCAGAAGTCGCGAGACCGAACAGCGTCTCAAGCGGAGAGATGTGGAGATACACGACATTCCTATCCAGCAAAAAGTGGATCACCTGCAAAACCATGCAAACTCCATTTTTTGAGGGATTCGCTTCTCCACGAAAATATGAACCCATGTAACACGTGTTGCCTTTTTGTCACTGGTTCACCGGGATTTCTGGCTCGGGAGTCAGACATGAAGCAAGCCTCGACGAAGCAACCATTCGACCCAAGGTCGAACAGTTGGTGTCAACCATGTCACGTACAAGTCCAGTTCCTACGTACGTCCAGTCTGACCCAGTAAAATAAGGTCGTTTGCTTGCTTGAATAGTGTTTTTGATTGTTTTTGTATGACCAACTCCAGTATTTTATGAGGTCAAACTGACCAGTAGGGAGTAG